TTCATTCCGATTTTGCTCATCCTACACAGATACACACAGACCGACAGTGTCACGCTTCACCAAATGGACAAAATGGGATTGAATCTTCCCGTACAACATGGAATTATCCACTGCCACAGCATGGAAATATACACTGCCAAAGACCGAAAATGTGGCAGTGTATATTTGCATGTTCTAGCTACAGATTCATTCCCATTTTGCTCATCTGCAAGGAAAATGAGCGATAGCGAACTTCAGAAATCAAACAGCATCATACACATGAGACCAGATAGTTGTGACCTCGAACCAATAGCAGAATTGCATCACGAGTTCCACCAAATAAGAGCACAGCAGTAGCTCATAATTGACAATGGTAGATTAGTCTCATCATCATCAACGAAGAACCAGTGTTGATATCCTATCTGGCGCTCGGCGCCCAGACTACAAATGGCAGATCCTATCTAGCCTATCTACAATGCCGCTGATGACGTCAACAGCTCCCCAAGTACAAGCAGATCTCGGCCAATGCCGTACGCTTCAAGCACCAGGTATGTCTCTCGTATCACTCACAACCTCGTTCCCCAACTCACGGATGTCACGTGTACCCAAGGACCACCATGCGCCCCATCCAGCATGCAGCAGCGCAGCTCGGCTATGGCTGCCTGCTCTTTCCTGCTCGCCCGTGAGCGCATGAGCGCTGGCCAGCGTTAGCGCAGCAGCGCTTGCGCAGCATGCAGCCAGTGCCCGAATGCCGAATGCGTGGGCAGGCACTTTCCTAAATGGAAGTGGCCTGCCTGCTTGCATTCAGCTTGGCTATGCTGGGCCCCTGCCCAGAAGCTTCCTTTAGGCCCAGAGAGGCTGAGCCCCAGTCCAAACAAATCAGGCCCTGGGCCTGTGGTGGTTGCCCGCATCCAACTGCCCGAGGCCTGTGTTCGGTCCATGTTGCAAATCTGGCCCAGGGCCTGCCTCAGTTACATTGGAAGAGGCAGCCTGGGCCTGGGTGATCTCAACCAACTGGCGCTGCGCAACTGCCTGAATTTTCCCCAGTTGCGTGGTGACCCCAAAAATGGCCTGTTGGCCTCGGTCGAACCTGCCTTCACTTAGGGCGCCCGACTGTGCTGAAAATAGGGCCCAGTAGGTCGTGCGGGAGGGGGAGGAGGAGGTCGCACCGGTGAGGGGAGGAGTTCGTGCCAGCGGGAGGAGGGGGCTGCGAGGGAGGACGAGGAGGTTGCGAGGTTGCATAAGGGGGAGGAGGTGTGT